GGTGATGTGAGCAGCAGGCAGAGGTGTCCCATACTGGGAAGAAGAAACATCAAATTGCATGGTTTGATCTTGGGCTTGTGTTGTGAGCGTGGAGCTCTCTTATTGTTGGTTGTTGCTGTGTTGTCTTAGACTTGTCCCAAAGGCCACAGCCACAATGACTCTGTGAGACCCTTGGCTCTTGAGAGGGCCTAGAGCTTCCTGTGCCATGTTCCCAACTGGTTCTATCCCAGTGGGATAGCAGTGGGCAGGGGCAGGCAAGCTCTCCACGTAGATGCAATCTGTCATGCATGGGTCCTGCAGTGCCTGTAGAAAGGTGGAACATTCATCAGCAGGTGGGACATTCACCTGCCTGGGCTCCTGTGGGTCCTCGGGTACTTACCCAGTGGAACACACGTTTGTGCAGGACGTGTTCCTCGTGCAGTGCTTGCCAGCTCTGAGCTGAGTGCCTCTTGTTTCTCCCACCCAGGAGCACAGGATGACCTGAAGAAGGTGACCAAGATAGCCTACTCCATGGTGAAGCAGTATGGGATGGTGCCCAGCATTGGGCAGGTCTCCTTCCCAGACCTGGAGACTGCCCCTGGGATCGGCCGGCGTCCCTTCAGCCAAGGACTCCAGCAAATGATGGACCATGTAAGACCACCCTTGGTCACACCCCTCCATTTGTGCTTCACTTTCTGCAGTTCTGTGAAAAAACACAAGTAACTTGCACCCAAACAATTGGTGTTTTTCTGTCTAGTAAACTTAACAACACTGACCTGTTCTGCTACAGCGTGTTAGGGCTGTGCAGCCAGGTGTTGAGAACAGGCAAAGTCACACAAAGCTGTGAGTTCAGCCCTGTCCTGCTCTGCTGCCTGAGCCTGCAGCAAGTGGCTGTGGAAAGATCCAAAGGCTGGAACCCCTCTGCTGGGAGGCCAGGCTGAGAGTTGGGGTTGTTCAGCCTGGAGAAGAGAAGGCTCCAGGGAGACCTTCTAGTGACCTTTCAGTACTTAAAGGGGGCTGTCAGAAACCTGGGGACAGACTTTTTCGCAGGGCTTAAACTGAGAGAAATTTAGACTAGAGAGGAGGAAGAAATTTTTGACGGTGAGGATGGTGAGCCCCTGTCCCAGGCTGCCCAGAGAGGTGGTCACTGCCCCATCCCTGGAACCATTCCAGGTGAGGTTGGCCGGGGCTCTGAGCACCCTGCTCTAGCTGCAGATGTCCCTGCTCCCTGCAGGGGAGTGGACTAGGTGACCTTGAAAGGTCCATTCCCACCCAAACCAGTCTGATTCTTTGAACCATGCTGCAATGCCTAAAACAGTGAGAGCTGCAGTCCTGGTTCCAGTGTGGACAAGACCCCAGTGAGCTTCTGGGAGATGGGAGGTGCAAATGTGGCTTTTGGAGAGAGGGAGAAGTGTTTTGTGGGAGAGGGGATAATCTGGGGAGATTTGGGGGGTTGTTGTGGAGCTGTGGACAAATACCCAGCTCTAGGGAAGAGTTCTGTGGCAAGATGTCTTTCCAGGCCCTCAGGAGTACCATGAGTATCTGAGCATGGCTGTGCAATGCTTGCATGACAAGAAACCTCTGTCTCAAGGTCTCAGCTGCACAGTTTGGATGTCTTTACTTCCTAGATCTGAGAGGCAATCTAACCAGAATGATGACTGAAAAGTATTAGCCTGTTTTGATAGGAAATTGCTGAAAAAAAAACCAGCCTCATTTGAGAAGTCAAACAGCTGGGTATGGAAGAAAAAAAAAAACTAGTTCAGAAATACTCTGGTTGTGCTTTGCTGGGGTTTGTGCTGAGCTGCTCCTTTTGGAGCTGGACAGCCTAGGGCTCTAGTGAAGAGTTGTGCTCATGCAGGTTTTTACTGTTCTTTATCATGAGTACTCCTCTGGCTTAATTTGACACAGTTTCTCTTTGGTTTCTGTAGATGGGAACCAATTCCTGCCTGGCTCAGCTGCAGGTTCCATCCCTTGGTGTTCTCCTTGTTTATCCCCACATTGTGTTTGTTGCTACCTACACTCCAAACCTCTCTTTTTGTTATCTTCTAGGAAGCAAAAGTCCTGGTGGCTCAGGCTTACAGGCGCACAGAACAACTCTTACTGGAGAACAGGGACAAGCTGCAGACAGTAAGTTGGAGGGGTTTTTGGGTTGTGTTGTGGGCTTTAGCTGGTGTTCTTTGCCTTGCTGCTTTCTGTGCCCTGTAGCTTGGCTGTTGCTCTGTCTCTGTGGTCCTGGGAAGTCTTGCAGTGGGAGTGGTGGGGCTCATGTGTGAACAAATGAGTGCTTACTGCACGTCCCCAGGTCAGGAGCAGGCCCTGGAAGGAATTTTCTGTCAGGGAGCAGTTCTGCCACCTGACACCAGCTGGTGTCTGCAGGGTGGAGGAGTAGGAGTGCTCTGTGGAAGTGATCCAAGCTGGAGTTTGTGGCTCTCACCTGCAATTCTTCACTAGCCTCTTGGCACTGTGGCTTCCTGGAGAGCAGACAGTGACTGTTCTTGGCAGAACAGTCTTGCAAAGGCAGGAGCAGCTCATCCTTCCAGGTGCTGTAGGGATGTACTGGAGCCAGGTGAACAGTTTCTGGTTTTGCCAAAAGAATATGGGCCCTGTTGCCCTGGCTGACTGGTGCTGGTTGGTGCTTCCTGGTGACTCCAGGCAGTTCTCCCCTGTCAGCTCCCTGCTGCCCAATGTTCCAAGGGGTCCTTGTTGCAGAGGTGGAGCTTTCCCTCCTCCACTTTGTGTCCTGACAGTCCCCTGGCAAGTCACCCTGGTGTGTCCCCACCTCTCTGCCAGGGGCTCTGCACCCATTGCTCTGGCCTGAGCCATGCTTGGGTTACAGCAGCCTGTGTATATACTTGATCTTTCCTTCCCAAGTCCAGTCCATAACATCCAAAATTACCAAGAGTCAATTTTATGTTGTGTGTTTTGCAAAAAAAAAGATTACTCTCTACCTTCTGGCTCTGCACAGCTCCTGACAGGAGCCTGGAGCCAGGTGCGGGTCGGGCTTTTCTCCTAAGGAACAAGAGATAGGCAAGAGGAAATGGCCTCAAGTTACCCCAGGGGAGGTTGAGGTTGCCCCTGAGGAACAATTTCTTGCCCTTGAGGGTTGCCCAGGGCTGTGCCAGGCTGCCCAGGGCAGTGGTGGAGTCCCCACCCCTGGAGGGGTTTCCAAGCCGTGGAGATGTGGTGTGAGGGACACGGGGCAGTGGGGACCTGGCAGTGCTGGGGAAGGGTTGGACTCCATCATCTGAAATGTCCCTTCCAACCAAAACAATTCCATGATTCTAATCCTTTCCCTTAAATCTTCTTTTCAAACCAAGAAGCACCACCCCCCCTTCAGCTACACAGCCCCAGGTCTCCTGTGCCTGGTGGTAGCCAGAGCTTGCTGGCTGGGCCACCCTGCTGTGGGCTGTCACAGCCCTCTCCCCAGGACAGTGCCCTGGGAGTGCTCTGGGGGCAGCCCTTGCACAGGGGGTCTCCTCTCTGCAGGCCTCCTCTGTTCTGACGCTCTCATTTAACAGCAGTCAGATGTTTGCTGGAGGCTCATCACCCAGAAACTTTTAAGTTAAGCCAAAGTATCTCCAGAGTAAATGTTTTGGTTGCCAGGCCAGTGTGTAGCATCCTGTCAGCAGAACTGAGAGGTTCCATGTTTGACAGCCACCTGCTGCTCAAGTGCTGGCAGAGGGGCTGGAGAATTCAGTTCTTCTGGGGAGGAACTTGTGACCTTCAGCCCGTGCCTGCAGGAACAGGCAGCTCTTTGTCACTGCAGTGTGTGCTGGGAGGGGTGGGAGGTGGGCCTGGCTGGGGTCTCACTCACTGCTCCTTTGGCACCTTGGACAGGGTGCAGGTGTGGTGACAGGGGCACGGAGGGCACTGCTCAAAGTGTTCCTGGAGTTCTGACTCACCAAATAGTTCCCCAGAGTCCTCCAGTCACACTGTGTGTTCCTGGCCAGAAACACGCTCCGGAAAGGAGCCAGCAGGCTGGAGGGCTTTGTGCTGGCCACAGCCAGCTCTCAAGTTGCCCCATCTGTGAGGTGGTAGCCAGGGCTCTGCTCCTCCTGGGCTGCAGCACGTGCTGTGGCCAGATGCTGAGGTGTGAGCCGAGCTGGCAGGGAGAGTTCAGATGAGTTCAGAGAGGCTGTTTTTGATCCTTTGTGCCTCATTCTGCCTTCTTTACTCTTCCTAGCTGTCCAACGCCCTCCTGGAGAAAGAGGTGATAAATTATGATGACATTGAAGCTTTGATTGGGCCTCCACCCTATGGGCCAAAGAAAATGATAGCTCCTCAGAGCTGGCTTCAAGCAGAGAGAGACAAGCAAGACACCAGAGATGAAGAAATGCCCCAGCAGCCACCAAACCACGAGGAGGAGGAAGAACCACGCCTGAGACCAGTATGAAGCCTGCTCCCAGTGTGGAATGGGCTCCAGGGGCTCCTGTTGCACACAGACCCTTTCCCTGTTCAGCTCCAGCACCGAGGATAGCTGAGGAGGGAACCTCTGTGCTGCTATTAAAAATTCAAGGGATGGCTGCACTGGATCTTTTAAGGAGCTTTTCCCTGCAGGAAGGAGAACTCCTCAGGCTTTGCAGTTGATTCTCAGCGGGGGGTGGTGATGAGAGGAGCTGGGTGAGTCTGATCCGCTGCAGCGCTTCCTCGTAGACATCCTGAAGGGTGACAGGTCCTGCGGGGCCCTCGGGAGCCACCTCTCACCTCGTGTGACATGGGGGGAGCGCAGGGCTGACCCCTCAGCATCAGAACTGTCCCCACAAGCCTCAGAGGTGCTGCAGCTCTTGTGGTTCTCCCCTGGAGCCTCCGATCGCTTCTGCGGTGTGAAACGGTGACTGAGAACCAGAGTTCCCCCAAATGTGCTGTCTGTGACCTGCTGCTGTGTCTGTAGGATGTGTCAAGACATCCGGGCACATTTGAAGCTTGTGATGGCCATGAAATTGTACAGGACAAGGGCTTCCTCTTCCCTGGCCCAGACCCTAAGTTCAGTTTTTACAGTGCCAGCGTGACCCCACAGGGTGGCCCCGAGGGGCTCTGGAGGTGCTCTGGGGGCTCTGGAGGTGCTCTGGGGACCTCGAGCAGAAGCAGGCGTGTCCCTTGGGAAACCTCCATGTGAAGCTGGCAGCTCCTCCAGCTCCATCCTCGTGGCTCTTGCAGAACAAGCTGTGCTGATGTGATCATCTGCCCTTCATCAGGGGAAGCATTAAAACGATGGCTGGTGCCTGCTGTGCTCTGGCTGTGTTAGTTCTTTAGGGAAGATCAGTGTCTGGAGTTCCTCTGTGAGGTTTGTCTGTGACCTGAAGGACCCCAGCCCAGTCTGACAGCTCTCAAACTTCCACCCTGGAGGCCTTGACCACCCTCCCCAGGCTCCTGCTTGGCTGCTTTGCTGTCCTCGGGGATGGGAGGGAGATGTCCTGAGGTGTCCCTGCCCTGTCCCACACAGGGGGAGCCTCCAGCGCCCCGTGCCAGCAATGTCCCTTGCTTTTGGGGGCAGAAG